AGAACAAGACTTTCAAATGAATTAGGATTTCATTTAGGTTTATGATCAATTAAAAGGCTTGAATCATGGCTGATACTCCACCTCCTCAGCCGGTGCCTCGAGGAATGTGAGTATTAATATGACTTCATGGCTCTCACTGGGTTACAGAAATTCAGTGTTTTTGCGTTTTTCCAAGCATCATCCAAACCATCCGTTATCTTAACATTACGTTCTCTTTCCCATAGGCCCTTCAGAGAGGAGGTGTTTGTGATGTTATACCCCTTAAGGATATTATAGAATAAGCTAATAGAACTGCCAGATTTTTGCAAAAAGAGCTGTCTCTCTAGGTGTGAGATATTTTGACACTGAAGGATTGTGGTGTCCTTTGTGACAAAATGGCTTACTTGCAAATATAGAAAGAAATCCTGTTTTTGAATATCATATTTCCTTTCCAACTGACTAAAAGACACACCTTCCAGTAGTTTGTGTAAAGTAGATAGTCCTTTATTTACCCAAGTCCGGAAGTTATTGTCCATTAGTCAAGGGGGAAAATCAGAATTGTCACATATTGGAGTGAAGACAGGAGTGAATTGAGATACAATTCAATTCAATTCAGTTTTATTTGTATAGCGCCAATTCATAACAGAAGTTATATATTTTTCAAATAGAGAAGGTCTAGACCGAACTCCTTACCTTATCCAGGGCAGCTGTGGCTCCGAGGAAGAGCGAGTTGTCCTCTCATCAGAAGGTTGTTTGTTCGATCCCTGGCTCCTGCTGCTGAGTGGTCGGAAGACTAGAAAGGCGCTATACAAGTACAGGTCCATTTATCTCCTTATTATAGCATTATTTACAGAGACCTAACAGTTCCCACCATGAGCAAGCACTTGGCGATCTGCCCTCTAATTTTCTGATGGCATGCCATGCCTTAACTGTGGAGATTGTAATAGGGTTAGTACAAGCAGACTTTAAAATGTTTTTCTTTTTCCTTATAAACAGAAGATTACTCAAAGGGTATTTAGACATTGAACTTTCTACATTCAACGAGAGAGATACTAGTGCGAGATACGCACTATAGTGCGCAAATGAACACTAAGCTGGAATTTCTGGGAGATCGAGACCCCCTCTGAGGATGGAAGACATAGCGTAGCTATTTTCAGGCGTGCTTTCTTCTTAGACCATATAAAGGAGCTAAACCAACTATTTAACTGTATGATGGTCTTATGGAGGAACATGACTGGGATCAATTGTATTGGGTAAAGTAACCTGGGGAGAATGTTCATTTTTAGGAGTGCAACACGGCCCCTATTGGGAGGGTGTTCCATCTCTCTAGGTCTAGCCTTATATGCTCAAATATGGGTGGGAAATTTGCTTTGTGTAGTTGTTCAAACAAGGGTATTATATGTATTCCTAAATAGACAAAGCCTTCTGGCGACCATTTAAACAGGAAGGTAGATGGGGTTTTAGGTATCTGTTTCAGACTACCTAATGGCATTACTTCCGATTTATTGAAATTTATTCCATAGCCAGAAAAAATACTAAACATATTAATGGTCTCAATAAGAGTTGAAATAGATACCTCAAGTTCAGTCAAAACAATCAGGACATCGTCAGCATAAAGAGTAATCTTGTGTTGTCTAGTTGCAATGGTAAGACCGTGCATGTTTTCATTTGTCCTGATTTCCTCAGCAAGTGGCTCAGTTGCTAGGGCAAAGAGCAGGAGCGATAGAGGACATCCTTGCCTTGTACCCCTAAAAACTTGAAAATTAGAAGATAGCAACCCGTTTGTAAGCACTGCTGAGAGGGGATTTGTATAAAGTAACTTTATCCAGTTTATAAATGTTTCACTCAAGCCAAATTTGTGTAATGTATAAAACAAGTATGGCATTTCCACATGGTCGAATGCCTTCTCGGCATCCAGAGAAAGCACCAGACCATTCAAAGACTGCTGTTGAAAAACCTGGATTGTGTTTTGTAATCTGCGCATGTTATTGTATGAAATATGACCTTTAATTAATCTAGTTTGGTCGTCATTTTTTAAGAACAGGGAGTAAGCTTTCTAGTCTTGTTGCTAATACCTTAGAGAGGAGTTTCAAAACAGTATTTATAGATAGATAGATAGATAGATAGATAGATAGATAGATAGATAGATAGATAGATAGATAGATAGATAGATAGTATTTATAGATA